GTCTATCTGAATATGTATATAACAGAGTTGGCCAAACTTCAAGTCAGTAAGAGCCGCACGTTTGAATTCAGGAATGTTCGAGAGCCGCACCTAGATTTTCTAAAAGCCACAAGTTCATGTTACATCATTATAGAAGTAGTGGAGGAGGTTTTAAATAGAAAGAAATCCCTGATAACTTTGTTACTTAACTGATAACTAAACTAATTAATTACTTCTTTTTTTACACTGAATCGTTTTAGTTTACCATATTTCATACATATATTTTATATGCATGAGCCGCACAATTGACTGCTAGAGCCGTATCAGGCTCGCGAGCCGCACTTTGGCCACCCCCGGTATATAATGTTGTATATAGTGTTTAATCATCGAAATTAATGTTGTGTGTGAACTTCGCTTAATCCTTGGAAAGTTACGGACCACAAAAGCATCTTGTAACTATACCTCTGGATACTTGGAGCTCTTCATGATCGCTTACCTACAATGGGCATCTGGAAACCCTAATTTGGAATTTGTTTTATTATCAATTTCATATTTTGTAACAAATTTTTGATTAACAAACAAAGGATTTCAAAGCGAGCAAAGGCAACATTGTACATAACATTTTTATCTCCTGCGCGTGAGACTGTGTATCGGAAATTCTAAACATACGCTTATTTTAAAATTATTTTGCGGTAATGCTGTTGAACTTAATTTCATGGTTTAAGTGCGAAGAACATGATATTTAATAAAAAAAGATAGCACACAAAACGTTAAAAAAAACGCCCTTTTGGGCGTAATTTAAAGTCTGAAATTTTCAGTTTTTCCCTGCATTCTTTTCTTAATTTTTACTTTGATGGCCTCAATAATCAGTTCATTACACAGGAATTTATCTCTTTCAAAAAATTCTTTAAGTGCACTGAAGAAATACGATACTAAGAGTAGACTGTTCTGAAAGTGGTAGAATATCCTACTTGTATTGTGTGACTGTATTTAATCCTCTTTCATGTTCAAGCATGAGAAGATGGGGAGCCTAATCTAAATCTAGCTAAATTTAAAAAGATCTTTAACTTATGTTTCCACATAATCTACACTTATAAAAGTTCAGCAATTCTCTGAAGTGATTTTTTTTTTTTTTTTTTTTTTTTTTTTTTTTTTTTTTTTTTGTTGGTCCGCATTGAAGCATCAAAGGCAAATTAGCTTGTCTTCATTAGTTGAGATTTTCTCCAGACGAACATGAGGCTCACCTGGCCTGGCCTGGCCTGGCCTGGCGTGGCATAAAACACTTACACCAGTCATGCTATCTGCGTTGAGATAGTTCCAAATTTATTAAATCTCGAATAAATCTGAGACCCACTGACATCTTGTAAGATTCTTATCAATCAAGAGTCAAAAATCTCATACCAATTTGACGCGTAACACTGTTGGGAATCCCTTCTTCTCACTTATTGATTACTATTAACAGGGAAGACAGAAAGGTAAACTAACACTACTAACTCAAATAACATACCATTTTTTTTAGTATTTCGATTCTACGATTCAAATTACGCCTAAATATTAAATTTTGTAAAATTTGGTGTGAAAGTTACGGAGAAATTCACAAATTTATCTAGGCGTGTATTTTCAGTTTGCGCCAAGAATAATTCACTTGGTGAACTTCTTAATATTGCCGGAGAGTCGGTATGGTGGTCAGGGAAGCTGCCTCCGATGCCGAAGGGCCTGGGTTCGAATCCCGGAGAAGGCATGGTTGTAACTGTCCGTCCCTTCACAGGAAAGGCGATGGTGGTCCACCTGTTAGGTGCCCCCATAATAAACAGACCACCACATCCGGCCTTGTATAGATTAATGAACTGCGTTACATTTGTAATCGTTCACAATCTGCCATTGGAAGAAAAAAAAAAACTTCTTAATATATGGCAACTTATTTTTCTTTCCCTTCCTTTGTGCATGAGCGGAAAAAAAGTCACATCGTTCCCATTTTCAAATAATTTTAACAAAGTGCCTAAATCACATTTGATGTTATTATCGCTTTCAACAAATAGGCCAAATTTCAAAACGCGCCAATATATAAATACGGAAATTTTGAATAAAAAATTGTAATTTTTTGCAGATATGCTTAGAAATGAATACATCTACTTTAAAAAGGTGGTAAAAATTTTATAGATTATAATTCAGAATATTTTTTGAAAAATTTATAAAAGTTATTTAAAAATACAAATTTCAAAAATGAATTAAAAAAAGGCAAACGTTTTTTGGAATGAACCTAAATTCCGTAATGTGGAAGGAAGCATCAAATAAGTTTAATAAAAAAGGAGATATTAATAAATATATATAAAAAAACTCAATTACCTTTGAGGCGCTAAAATTTTCAGAGCTGTTTTTTTAAAAACTACTGGTGCGATTTTTACAAAACTTGGCAGTTCTGGTTATTTGTGTGGTAGAAGAGAAATATAGAAAAAAATCGGCATGTAATTTCAGAAAAAGTCCGATCTTGTATCAAAATACCTATATTAGACCAATACTATACATAAATATAACACATATCCTAAGTTGCGCTTTCGAGACATGAAAAACGAAAGTTGAATTTCGTCCATCGACTCAGTAGAAAGGGAGATATAGAACTGCCCCCCCCCACAGTGTACAAGTTTGCTCATTGAGTCATTACGGTGAATTCTGTACAAGAACGGAGCATAAAAATTACTTTTATAGTTAAACATCTCTCATAATACAAGCGTTACAAAATAATTATTGAAAAAAAAAGTCTAAATTATTATAAAAAGTAGCTCAACTCATTCTGAACAAAGTAAACTGCACGATTAGAACAGAATAAATTATACAGAGTTGTAATATACACTATACTAAGCATAACTTAGCACTTATAACGTAGTCCATACTGCTCTGTGAACAGTTTTGTGTCCAGTACAGTGTATTAGTACTGTTTATTGTTTCGTAAATAGTACAACGCCTTAGGAAAAGTTTTAAACTATTACTAAAGTTATTCACACGACACGATAAATATTTAATTGATGGGAAATTCAATAAAATATTACATTCATTTTTAAAATTAAAACCTTTTAATCGTTTTGAAACTGTGATTAATATTCAATCACTTTACACCTCAGGAGAATTTTTTTATTCTCTTTCAACTGTTTTTCGTGCAAAATTTTCAGAACTGCCGATATTTTTATCGTAAATATATCCTTAGAATTAACAATACAATCGATAAATTTTTAATACAGTACTCTGAAAAGCTAGCTTCTCTCTTTACACTTCCGAAGCTTCAGAAATATTTAATCGGATTACTTAGAACGATCATTTCTAAAAAGGTTTAAAGTTACTACTTAGACAGGAGAACTTCATTCCTATAATTATTCAAAGAGCGTAAAGTTATAATTATTTACAAACTTCAAAATAAGAGGATTATACGGCAGCGACGGGAATGTAAATGAAATTTCTCGTATTATAACGGAAAAGATTGATTGCCACGACACGTGGAGAGCAATTTGAGATGCAACAAAACAACAGAAGCGTCATTTGTTTTGATAGAATCGCCTGCATAAGAACTTAAAGAATTAGAACCAGGCAAAACAGATTAAAGAACTCTCTGGACGAAATCAGAGAGACGACGTTTCAAACAAAAAAAGACTAACCATTGCAGAAGCACTTTAACTATCCTAATTAGACTCGAGATTACGGAAAATTAAGGAACCAGTCAAGAGTCAAAAAATGAATCAAACTGCGTTGCACGTGATGGTATCCGATGGTACGTTGCACGTGATGGTATCCGATGGTAATAAAAATGAAGTAAAATGTGAACAAAATATTCCTGCTTAAAAGGCATTGAAATGTTCCCTTTAAATAATCATTTTCCCTCCGACGTTGAGAAAAATCCCTATTGAAATTTAACGCTAGATTTCTCTGTTTAAAAAGTTCACGGAAAATCCTTTCAAACACTCGAAATTTGTAGTATTAGTTTAGGGTTACTTCAGAATAGATTATATCTTGATGAGTGGTTAAAAAAAAATTTTATCTTAATTTTAATTAGCATTTTTAATGACCTTACAATTTTATGTACGATGTTACGATGTTAATGTTAAATGGAACGCTTTGAAATCGTTGAGTTTTTTAATCAAAAATTCGTTAAAGTTTTACAAAATATGAAATAGATAATAAAACAAATTCTAAATTGGAGTTTCCAGATGCCCATATTCGAGTGGAGGACTACACTATTCAAAATTTGATGTCTCTAAGTACCGTTGTTTTTACGCAATGCGAGAAACATAGTTCACGCAGATTCTTCATTATTTAATTTAATTTAATATAATACAAGGCTCTAATATTTGGCGGCAACAATTTGAAGTTGACAAAAAATGATTCAGACTTTTATAGTAGACCAATAAAAAATGCCAAAACGAAATTAATGGCCTTTCTGGGCTAAAAATTTTAATGTTTTCGAAATATTATTTTTAATTAGTTCTAAATTTGTTCGTTTTTAACGCTCATTTTTTATTTATTTCATGCATTTATTTTGATAGTAATCCAGATATAATTCGGACACACGCTTCTGAATGTTTTAGGCTACTCCTTGAAAATGACCAAGAATTGACTCCTATTTGTTATTTTATTAGTTTTTTTTTTCTTTTTGTTTCAATATAGATTTATATTCTTCATGTCAGTTTGTCACCAGTATTGGTTTAACTATGGTCTCTTGGTTACATATGTGTGGGTGTGTATGCATATTTTATGTACATTATAGCATGCAAATATACATACAACATACTCATATTCAGGTACTATATACATACGTGGGTATTATATTATGTGTGTAAAAAGACTTAATGCATTTTAAGATGGGAAGCTTTAAACAGATTTTTGTAGATGCAGAAATGCTACTTCAACGTCCTGCGGGAATGACATTTCGAAAAAATAAAATATTTCTCGCTAAAATAGCTAATATCACAAAAATCAGCTCCGTTTCATCTTATCAAACATGTGCAAAACATGAAACCCTTAGGGTAAATTACCTTTCTTATCTTCAAGACACAAGCTAAGCATACAAATCTTCTTTTCTGGAGATCTAGATGATTAGATTCTGGTTTTCTGCAGCTGCGAAGCAATTCAAATTTACTTTCTGCAGCATCTGAAACTGGAAGGAGAAGAAAACATTTAGATCGCTGAATACAGATGATGCACCATCATATGACAAGAAACTAAAATCATTAACTACAAAATTCAAGTACTTTAATACAAATGCTTAGGTTACCATCGTACAGCTGAATATGACACTTAACAAAAAATGTTACGAAAACATTTTTGCACCATAGGTAATAAAAACATACACAGTTATTTGCATAGCTATAATCATAACATCATGATAGTTTAAAAAATTTGTATAAAAATATTACTACAGATATTCACAAATTTATGAAAGTAAATCTACGCTAATTTGGTTATAAGAAAAATTTGAGCTAGCAATTTCTTCCTCTTTGAGAGCGAAATCCGAAAACGGTTTTCGCTTTCACGAGAAAGGACGAAAAGCAAAAATAGCGTAAAGAGTCTCTTTTATGGAATAATTGAATAAGAATCTAATTTCCGTTTTCGAAGATCACCTAAACTGTATGCTGTTTCACAGACTGCTTTGAGTACGGATGAAGAGTCACATGACAGAAAATATCCGATGTGGATACCCTATGACTTCCTTGCACGGGGTATGAAATTACCCACATTTTTGCTGCACTTCATTTAAACTTATTTCCCCGAATTTCATTACAGATATATTTCTCATTCAATTAATTCAGTTCTCACTTCGCAGCAAGGCAAAAATACATGAAAACTCATAAATTGTAAAATACAGAAAAACCTCAAACACCGAATATAGTTTTAAAAAAATTTTTATATTTAAAATTAGCGGTTCTAGGCAAAAACAAGCAATTCGGCCGGCGGGCAGGAAGACTAAATTTTCTATGCAGAACATTGAAGTTAACTTTTGGTTCCACTGGGCAAAAAACTGTGGAGTTGGTGCACCAAATGGCTTTATTTACTAAAAGTTCCAAATGTAAACAAATGGCGGCCTCGTTAGGCTTAGCGTCACTTAAAACTTTTAAATCATTGATAATTCTATAACTATTGCATGCACATTAATTTAAATCTTAAAAATCTTAACCAGAACACAAGAATATAATTCAGCCACTTTTAAAGGAGAAAATGCACAATTTACCGACCTATAAGAATAAAAATACTGAGCGCACCGAGCCGATTAACGGAGTGTGAATATCCGCCTGGTGCGGCCGATTCCGATGAAAAAGCAAAGTGCATAACTACACGATACAGCAGTTCTATATGGCAAATTTTCAATGTTATGCAGCTACTCTCGTTTTTGAGTTATGCGAGATACATACGTACGTACAGATCACGAAAAAATCTCTTCTGAGTCCATTTTAGAATCCGTTTTGAGAAAAAGAAATATTTCCTTCAATTAGCATTAATTTTTATCTTGCCCGGACATGAAATCCGTGAACTGAAAACAATAAACACTTTTGAAAAACTTCCGTTCAATTTTTAAAAAAAAATTGATTTATCGGGATTATAACCTAATCTTATTTCATAAATACACAAATCCAAATCTGGCGTGCTTGTTTAAGTCTACCTTTCATATAAGAAAGACAGAATCTATGCTATTAAAATCCATGCGTTTGCTTGTTCCATGCGCGTCTGTCCGTTTGGTTTTTGCATTACCTCTTCCGGAAAGGCGCGGAATTGAGTTTTGACAAAGGTACTCTGGGATTCCGAAAATTCAAAGGAAGCCTTTTCGGCCATTCTCATCTTCGTACGACTTTAATTAGCCTATATATTAATTAAAAACTCTGAAAACGCTAATTTTCTCACTCATTTCTCTGAGTGGCAAACGTTTCGCACGCTGGAAATAAAAATCTGCTTTATTTCGAAAAGTGTTAATCAAATTGCAAAGTTTGTTAATCAAAATTTCCGAGTTTCACAAAATATGGGGGGAAAAACTGAAATGTTTCAAATTTTAAATTACGTTTAAAGCGGCGTTTTTTTAACGTTTTCTGTGTTACCTTTAATTATTAAATATCATGTTCCCATAACAATTAGTCACTTAACCCATAAAAATTAGTTCAATAGCAACGTCGCAAAATAATTTTAAAATGAGCAGATCTTTAGAATTTCCGATACACAGTTCCGCGCGCTGGAGATAAAAGGCTTTTTCCCCTCCGTAGAATGTTGCCATTGCTCGCCTTTAAATCGTGGAGTTTGTTACTCAAAAATTCGTTAAAGGTTCACAAATATGAAATTGATAATAAAACAAATTCCAGATTTCAAACTCAGGCTTCCACGTGCCCATATTCGCAGTCATGGACCTTATAAGATATAGACAAACCCAGTGGGCGGGGCGCGCGTCACCGACATGTCGGCAACAAAGAGTAGGGACGATCTGGTTTACTTTAACACTGAAACCTATGGCGTTTGTATCACATAACTCTTTTTAATTATTAAATGTGATACGTTGTACAGTGATGAGATTATGAAAGCCACAGTTTTTTCCAAATAGGATTTAATATATCTCATTAAAGCACTTTTTACTGCATTTCGCGCATTTTTTTCACGCTTAATTCTTCTACAAACATCTTTTCTCTGGTAAAACGGTAAAAACTCTGGCACAAAATTTATGAACTTAATTGTGCGTACAAATAAAGTAAAATTAAATAAGATTGATAGTACGTGATGCTTTGAAATAAATAAAGTAAAAGTAAGCAAGATCTGAAAACTTTTTTTTAAAAAATTTAATGACCCTTTTCAGGCAGTGATTTTCAAAACTATAATAACATTACAAAACGATCATTTATTTGATTATATCATCATTAATTTATTAACATTAAAGTGGAATATTTTAGTAATTTATAAAATTCGGAGCATAAAATTTTCTGAGTGTAATGAAGGGGGGGAATGTAAAATAAAATCTAGAAGCACTCAGATTTTATATTACGCCCAAAAGGGACCTTTTTTTTTAAACGTTTTGTGTATTACCTATATTTACTGAATATCATGTTCTTCGTCCATAAACGACATACATTTGAAAACAGCATATCTTTAGTATTTCCGCACTGGAGATAAAACTGTTATTTTCCGTACAGCGCTCTCTCTGAACTCGTTGAGTTTGTTAATCAAAAATTCTTTAAAGTTTTACAAAATATGAAAGAGATTAAAACAAATTCGAAATTCAGCCGTCCATATGCACATATTCGGGTGGAGGATTACATTATTCAAAATTTGATGGCAAAATTTGATGATGATACTGTCATTTTTGTCACAGTGCGAGAAACATAGATGTATTAATGCAGATTCTTCATTATTTAATTTCTTTAAATATAATACAGGGCGATATATTTGTAACACAATTGCAAGAAGACACGAACATTTATAGTAAAACAGCGCAAATGCCGCTTCGAAACTAACAGCCTTTCTAGGTTACCGCTCTTTTGGGCTAATAAAGTAAATTAACAGTAAATAAAAAAATCTTATGCAGAACTAAAAATAAATTTAAAAAAAATAATCACTATAAAATACACCAAAATGAATTATTACGGTTAAATACAGTTTTAATATTAAAATTAAACGTATAAAAATTTTTAAAGAGTCAAAAGTGTTTATCACTATGATGTATTATGAAATATAATTGAAATAAAATTCCTTTATAGAAATTGTGCTATAATACTCATCTATAATTTAAAAAAAGCAGCACAATTTAGACTTTCTAAAATTCGTTTTTAAATATTTTAGTAATTTTTTACTTATTTATACGAATAAAAAGCATAAAAATTGCAAGAAAATTGCTTGTGTGAAATTTTCTATTAGTTCAGATTTAAAATATTATTTTCTAAAAGAAGTAGTTACAAATTTCCTTACAGCATAGGAAAAGCTAAAAGAATATCCAGCCCTGAAAGCATGCAATTGCTTTATAATTATTTGGAACGTTAATTATGCTTGATAACTATGCTAAATTTTTAAAACATCAATCTGAATTTCAAAAATAAAAATATGGAGAAATTCTAATTTGTGAAATGAGGCGCTACAACCAGCTTTTTCTTGACAATTATACACGCTGCAATAGGCAACCACTGTTAAATTTGTGCAAAACGTCTCTACTCCTTCGGATGTGATCAAGGTGACAGCCGGGAATGCCTCAGACGAGGGAGAAAACCCATTTGGGTTAGTCTATTTTTTATAAGGTCCATGTTCTCAGTAGGATTACGTCATTCAAAATTCGATGGCTCTAGGTACCGTTGTTTTATCACAAAGCGAGAAATGTACGTACATTTATGCAGATTCTTCATTATTTAATTTCTACAAATATAATACAGGGCGATAACATTTGGTGGCAACGGTTTGATAGGTGATACAGCCTTTTATAGTTTTCAACGCAAAATGCCAAAACGAAATTAATAGTCCTTCACGGCAAATTGCCCCTTTGGACTTAAAAGAGCATTGCCAAACATTATTATTACTATATAAGATCATATTCTGACGTTGAAGAAAGCACGTGATTGCATGTGACGTCACTATATGTCGAAAATGTTTCAGTAATCTCGGCAATTTAAATAAATAACTGCTGTGGCAACGTTTTTGTTTCAGGTTAGGATAACTAACACGGTATGGAATTACCACACTAATTCCTTCATTGATATTCAGAAAAAGTTGCTATATTACATTAAATTTAAATCATGACATACGTATTAATCTGAAGTGTCAAAAGTTTTTCTTTTCTGGTTTGGCAACAAAAAAGTTATTTACGAATTGGTTGTTGCTTGGAAAGCTTGAACTGATTTCTTTCATACTGTAATGTTTTTATACATTTTCTATCCATTTGTACATAGAACTTATACATTTTGCTTTGGCAGAAGTAGTAATGGATTATTTTCTGCCTATAAAATGGAGGCAAACTGATCAAAACCAAACATTATTTCGAGTTTATTTATGAGGAACGGAATAAGTTTTGTAATATTTCTAGATGAACTGATGTACTTAGATTCGAAATCTTGAAACTAAATTCCGTATTTTTTTTAAATATTTAATTATTTCAATTTTTAAATTACTTAATTATTTTACAATTTCGTTTTTCATTTTGCT